GTACACTTCTTTACAGCAATTTTTTTTTGTTCACATTTTTATGACGCAAACAGTAAACATACAAACATAAGTAATATATTATAAATACCATTAGGTAGTGTTAATATGTTGTTTTCTTTTATTGCGTTATATAACATTAAATCACATTGTCAATGGCTATAGTGAGTGTCAATAACTAATTGTAACAAGCTGGCTCGTACTAATAAATCTGATAAAATATTAGTCAGGAAACAATTGATAGAATAGTATGAATATAAGTTAATGCTATTTATTATGGGTTGGAAAAAGTCATTTTCCTTTTCTTGGCCGAATTAAAATAGTTAATTCATAAAATATATAACCAAAACATTTGTAACACTTTATTGTAGTCTATAAATTTGCTCATAATGGTTCGATTTCCGTTATATAAATTAATATTTTTATATTAATATTAGTATTTATAATCTATAAGATGATTGTCCGCTAATTGGAACTAACGAAGATATGGCGAAATAAAACACCAGAGGGAAAAATATATAGTATATATTGTATTTAGTTTTAAAATTGTTATATAGTTGTGTTTTAATAAATCAAAACGATTTGCTGCCACTTTTGTACTGTTTTTAGAAATTTCAGAAATATTATTTTTCAAATCTACTTCACTCAATTGTTCTTTATAGGCACAAGCTCAGTCTAGATGAGCATCACATTGATATTTACTACGCAGGAAAGAAACTCAAGGGATGCTCACTTTGTCAATAGGTTTTAACCTTGATTATCCGATTTTTAATTTTGCTAGACTAATTCTTTTCAACTGCAGGTTGAATACACTCGATTTGTATCTACAAAGGTCTGGAAATTGTAAGTTTTCATAAGAAGGTTGGGCTCAAACAGAAACTGAAAAACTGCATTTAAGACAATTACTTCATCTTAAAAATTGTCAGATTTATTCTTTACTACACAAAAATAAAAAAAATAGGATCGTAGGTTTCGAAAACGGTAGTTATAAAATGATAATTAATATTTTATAACACTTATTTGAAAACAGTATTAGAAGCAATAGTTCATAAAAAACAATAGGCTGTATCTTTGTAAATAATGGTCCGATTTCCATGATTTTTTTTCTTGTAGGGAATTCCGCAAATTTTCAAATAATAATGGGTCTAATCTAGAAAATACGTATACTTTTTCCCCTGATGTTACAATGTTGCAATGTACACCCCTTTCGAGTGGATGTTCCTATGATTCGTCACTGCTCCATTCAATACCCTTTCGTTTGATACCTCATTCATCAAAATACATCGCTCCTGAGAGCCGGAAAAGGGATTATTACGGCAAAAAAAAACTATCGTATTATATTATAGGATTTGTGAATATTAGTGTAATTAGTTATATCATAACAATGGCTTTGCTTTCAACAATGTTGGAGATTGCTTTAATAAAACAATTGAGAATCAAACACTCGAAAAAGTTAAATTACAAACAGAGTACACTGTTACTTTATCATACTGAATTATTCCCCTATCTCATATTACGCAGTTACACTCTTGTATTGAGTACTATACAAGTACTCCTATATGTTGCTAGTTCGATTGTAGCTATACTAACTACATAGAATTTCAAACCATTATTTAAAATTTCGATTAATGTGTCCTAAAGTTTTTTTTTTACTGCTCTTAGTAGAATATCTATAATTTTTTTATAACTAAAACAATTGATGATGCGTGATGATTGGTCACACCAGATATTTTTGATATTTCACTTCACTCATAGACAACAACAAACCACTGTTTCATCATTTTCAGTATTATTTTATAATCATTGAATGGTACCAAAGCGGGGCAGGAATGTGCATTAGTTATATGAAATGATAGTTTTAGAAGTGAAGAATTCTTTAGGTGTGTTTTGCACTTTTTTTTTTTTTGTGAAAAGTGAATAAGATTGAGCCGTCAGATAGTCGGCTGGAGTAGACTAATAAAGTGTTTTTGCATATGGATTTAAATACCTCAGAAACTAAAAATCGAACCAGCATACTGTAAGCGAGGGAAACATTCAGTATTTATCCTCTCTATAATGAGCTGTTATTTATAATTTACATCTCGTATTATTATTCTCGCCTTGTTGAAGTTTTCCCTTCTATTGTGTGGTCTAAAACACAAACCTAAATTTTTTTTTCATTAACAATGAAAATAATTTTCTGTTTCTCACGGCAATAATTGAATAAAATTTATTTATTTTATTCTTTTCGTGTAGACAAAAGAAATTATCGATTGAATGAATAGATTTCTTAACGAAGCGTTAGGTCATTTCAAAAATTGAAAATCTCTCGAAGGGTAATTTGATATTGAATATTCAGAAAGAGGAATGTTTTACCTAATATGTTGAAACAAGAAAAATAATAATTCGTTCACTTAAAAATAAAATAAAGCGGACTGTCCGAAATCGAATAAATTGCTAATTAATTTATTTAGTTTATATATTTCCTATTGTTGACTACTTTCACGGTGTAAAACTCTATGATTGATCGACGTTTTTATATGCCTTCGCATACATCTCTGCTTTACCTTTGTATACGACTTGCATACATCTCTGCTTTACCTTTGTATACGACTCGGAATCGATTAGATTGTAGAGTGGCAATAAAAAAAAAAGTATCGCACCCGCTAGTAAATCTACAGAAATATCTTAGCAATATCCAACCGCAGCGGATATACGGTTAACGATAAAGTGGAGACCGACTGCGGTCAACTAACTCACCTCTTCCACCGATGGACCGGGTATAAATTGAAAATGTTTTTAACTCAAAAGACAAACGGTTCGTTGCGGTTTGTTCCACCTTCCTGTTATTCTTTTTGCGGATCACTATGTCTGGGAATTTTTTCATAGTAAATTTAAATATTTTCTTTGCAATAATTATTTCTTTTTGTGTTAGCAGGGCTCAGGAATACTTTCAATTCTGTGAGTTAATAACATTAATCTTAACAATATTTCTATATTGACTTAATGTGGTGATTTTGTTCTTTTTGCATAACAGGTATTAATTAATTTTCGATTACTTTTAGATACAATGTGTAAGGAGCAAAATATTAGACTATTTATTAAAATTTATATAATATTATAATATAGAACTAGTAGGCCCGTGCGAAAAATTTGCAAAGCATATTGTTATCAAACGCTAAATTAATAAGAAAATAAAATAATGCAACGTATCAAAAGATAAAGAAATCAATTGTCACTTTATCGATAAATATAATGACCAAAGGAAACAAAAATTAATTTAAATCTTCATTTTTGTTTGGAACCAACATGTTTACAAATTTCAGTAAGCTGCATCTTTGCTAAAAATTGTCCCATTTCGATTAATTTTTTTTTCCTTTTTTAGGGAAAAGTGCGTAACTTTTTAGTTATTCGCAAATAAAGTTTGTTTTCTTTTATAACTTGTTTGCCTGAATTTTCGGGGTGATTGGACTATTTTGACCACCTGAAGGGGAAGGAAACCTTCGAAATTGGTGGATCAATCTAGAGATTTGGTGAAAAATTAACGATGATATGGCTTGCCGATCAAAAACACCATCGATAAATAATATAAACTCCTCCTCTCTCGATCATAGAAACTTCAAGTCGACCAAATTAGACGTGTATTTAATGACAGTACTACAATTAACGTAAGGTTGTGTGGATGCGAACCCCATGCCTTGCGTTATCTCGAAAATAGTACGTTTTTGGGCTTAAAGACGCAGGATCCGATAGTTCCGGAGGAACTATCTGGGTATTTCTGTACGCATCAAAATATTCAAGATCCAATTTGTCCCGCATCGATATACAGCCCTACCACCGTTTCAGTATTGAAGCCTATCAGAATGTTTGTATTGACTTTATTTATTTAAGAAAGAAAAACAAAAGCGGAGAATACGATTCGCTAACCCACCGTGAAATTCTGAATCCAACGGTACCCCATTCATGGTATTTGAGAATGACAGGAGCTTATATTTGGTACAAAATCGATTTCGAGCCTTACTGTAATAATA